TTGACACATGAGATATGCATGCAAGATTTTGATCGGAAATCCTCATGGAAAGAGGGCACTGGGAAGACCCTGATATAGATGTAGGGGTTATTTAACGACGTTGTCAGTAGTTCTTTTCTTACTTTCTTGGGGTGTGGTGAGAATGGGTCCACTTGGTACGTCGGCCACTAACTGGCCTATTGTACCAGCCACGGATGGTAGATGATGAGTGTGGAGCAGTCGTCGATGGAATGAGAATTGGCAGGGGAAACCGAAGTACTCGGAGAGAAAACGTGCCACAGTGCCACTCTGTCCACCACAAATCCAACATGACCTGACGTGGGCTCGAACCCGGGCGGCAGCGGTGGGAAGCCTGAGACTAACCGCCTAAGCCAGCCGTGTCAAACATGCGGCCCCCATAGCCACAAAATGCGGCCCCTCAACTTTTAGAGCTAATTGATATTAAAATCAATATTAAAATTTTAGTAGAAATATTTTCTGTAAAGACAATTTTCCAACAGATCAGAAGACAAGAAGTCTCACGCAGACATAAATTAGCAGGCTGCAGGAAATTCAATGTTTTGCTATTTCTAACACAATTTCTTGTGTAATCTCTCTTTTTACATATTGAAAAGCTGTTTGATACTTGTCAGAAATGGCATTCTCTTGATTTTTAAAACTGTAAGATATGTGACTTTAGGTAATTATATTGAAATTACTCCTAAATAATAAATATAATTAAATTTCCTTGTATCAAAATCTAATGTATATTTCAATTTTGAAGTGCGGCCCTGGACTATTGTTTATAGGGCTGAGGTGGCCCTCTGTACAAGTTGAGTTTGACATGCCTGGCCTAAGCTATGGCACGGCTGACGTCAGTATCTCAGACTGCAAGATCGTCGAACGGCAGTGTGGCTGTGAGGCAATTAAGTGCATACAGTTTGTTCTCACCTGCATGGGGGTGGGGTACTGAAAGTCTCTGAACATTTGAATTTGTTACTACGGTCTTTAATTTTATACCTGCTGCTTCCGAATTTAAAATTCAATATCTCAACCATGTGTCCTTATAAAATTATTATATACGAAGTGCCTCAAAGAAGAATTATCGAAGTTCATATATGTATACTTCGGAATTTATTTTCAGTGGAAGGCACAGCATTTCGCCTCTCCCCCCGAATTTTAACGCACCTGAAATATGTATTGGTGTGATGAATTTAAGAAAATCTTGATACTGTTGTGTGCTGGATGGTAAACAACTGAAAATAAATCCTAATACCAACTGCAGCGAGATGGCAGCATACGACACGTAATTTTCATTTATAGTTGTTATATTAAAGTTTATATATATATATAAGTGTGTGTATATATATATACGTGTATATTGCTTAGAAAAATTCCGTACTTTTGTCATTATGCTCAAAAAATACGCCACCGACGCGCATTTCAGTTTCAAAATATGATCACAAATATTTATGAACCTTGCACATTCAACATATGCAGTCCTGACTGGCGTCTTGTGTTTAGAAAATGAAACACCATCTTAGAAGCTGAGTGACAAAACTACACACACACACACACACACACACACATGACTCATGGCTAACAGACGTTCTTATTGCTGTATGTGCGCCGAATCTGAATTTTCCTTAGCAAGCTCAATTCGAAATGGTCTAAAACAAGGAGATGCTTTATCGCCATTGCTTTTCAACTTTGCTTTAGAATATGCCATTAGGAAGGTCCAGGAAACCCAGGTGGGACTGAAATTAACTAGGATACATCAGCCGCTGGTCTATGCTGTTAATCTACTGGGAGATAATGCAGATGTCATAAAAAACTGATGCTAGTAAGGATGTTGGTCTAGAAGTAAACGCAGAGAAAACTAAGTATACGCTGATGCCTCGTCTCCAGATTTCAGGGCAAAATAAGAACATAAAGATAGCTCACAGATGTTCTGAAAATGTGAAAAAAGTTCAATGTTTTGGAACAGCAGTAACAAATTAGAATTTGATTCAGGAAGAAACTGAATTTAGGCAATGCTTGCTACCATTCAGTCCAGAACCTTTCGTTTTCCCGTCTGCTGTATAAAAACATAAGAATTAGAATATACAAAACTAAAATGTTGCCAGTGGTTCTGTATGGGTGTGAAACTTGGTCTCTGACATTAAGGGAGGAACATAGACTGAGGGTGTTTCAAAACAGCGTGTCGAGAAGAATATTTGGACCGAAAAGAGATGACGTGACAGGAGGTTGGAGAAAACTGCACAATGAGGAGCTTCATAACTTATACTCGTCTCCAAGTACAATTAGAATCATCAAGTCAAGGAGGATTAAATGGGCAGGGCATGTAGCATGAATGAGGGAGAAGATGAATGCATACAGGATATTGGTGCGAAAACCAGAAGAACAGAGACCACTAGGAAGACCTACACGTATATTGGAGGATAATATTACGATGGAGCTTAGATAGAATGTTGTGGTATGGGCTGGATTGATCTGCCTCAGAATAGGGACAAGTGGAGGGCTCTTGTGAACACGATAATGAACCTTTGGGTTCCATAAAATAATGTTGCGAAATTCTTGAGTAGCTTCACAACTGGCGACTTCTCACGAAACGCTCACCTCCATGAGTTAGCTACATAACTTCACCCTGTCATGGGCAGGGTTGTGCACGGCGCTCAGGCTACCCGAAGCAGAAGACATTTTCTTTTGTTTTAGACTATTTACGTAATAAAGTCTGCGTGCGTTAGTTTGCTGTCCCCCAGTACTGCATACCAGTACCCATTTTGGTCGTACTATTTAATAACAGTCGACAGCTTGAGCCTGTTGTTGCATGCCTACCGTAACCGCCTTTCTCGTGTTTCAGATATGGATTTACATTGTGTTTACCCACCTTTTCAGTACTTTCATGCTGTTACTAGTCACATTATTACACAATTCATTTCTCTACTTGTCTGATGTCTCTCTTATAATTCTGCGCGGGTCCCTGCCTCAGCGTGTTGGCTGAGGCTAATGCATTTCCATCTTCTTTAGCCTGTATCCGGCATTTCCCGCCCCCGTTAGGGCTGGCACGCATCTCTGCGTCACTGTGGCTACCTGCAAGATGCTTTAGTCTAGAAGAGCATACTTACTCATGGAGCTGCGACCTTCTGGAGGAGTCGCCAATTCAGCAGCTACTCAGGAATTTCCCACCATTTTATGGAACCGGAAGGTTCATTACCGTGTTCACAAGAGCCCTCCGCTGGTCCCTATCCTGAGCCAGATCTATCCAATTCATACAATCCCATCCTATCTCTCCCACCAATATCCTACACGCATTCCTCGTCTCCCCCATTCGTGCTACATGCCCTGCCCACCGCATCCTCCTTGACTTGATCATTCTAATTATACTTGGAGAAGAGTACAAGTTATGAAGATCCTCACTATGTAGTTTTCTCCAACCTCCTGTCACTTCATCTCTCTTCGGTCAAAATATTCTCCTCAACACCCTGTTCTCAAACACCCTGTCTCATCCTCCTTAACTTGTTCATTCTAATTATACTTGGAGAAGAGTACAAGTTATGAAGCTTCTCATTATGCAGTTTTCTCCAACCTCCTGTCACTTCATCTCTTCGGTCCAAATATTCTCCTCAACACCCTGTTCTCAAACACCCTCAGTCTATGTTCCTCCCTTAATGTCGCATACAACTTCCCTAATCAGTACTTCAGATCTTCTCCTGCGTAACTGTACACACAGACCTGACTCCTAGGGCGTGCTTAACATTGGTACCTAGCTTCTCCATTTCGTCTCTTCTTTATCCATTCGAGCATAAAGAATAGAAAGAGAAGATAAACTGTAGGATCGGAAATAGTTAAAGTGACATTTTGGTGTAGGTAAGAAAATATCCTGCTGTGAAGTTTCCCAGGCACTGCCCACTCGTCCTTCTGGCAGTACAGTACGTTTGAGAGGCTAAGGTTTCGAAAGTGGACTTTATCACGAGCAGAGTGAAGACAATGTGCAGGGGCTTTACTCAGAAAGCTCGGAATTTTAATGTTAAAGTCCAAGGGCTATCGATGAGTGAATTTTTTAATTTAATACTGGGAGGGCTTCATTGGGGAGAATCTTTATGTTAATAATAGGGAAGGGGGTTCGTGTAGTATGCAGTGTAGTTTGCAAGTTGAGTACCAACGGAGCATTTGCTCGAGGACTCGGTAAAACCATGAAAACCCCTGATCGAGTTGGCCGGTCGCAGGTCCAATCCGGATGCATTTAGTTTAATATCGCCAAACATGAATGTGTGCGCGCGGGTGCATGCAGGGTGTCCGGGGTGAACATGGCTGAATAGCTGATAAAGAAGCTCAGCTGTTTTAGTTAGTTTCTTGGGGTGGGGTTAGACTGAGTCAACTTGATACGTCGGCCACTAACTGGCCTATTGTACCAGCCCCGGATGAAAGATGAGTGTGGAGCAGTCGGCGGAACGAGAATTGGCAGGGGAAACCGAAATACTCGGAGAAAACCTGCCCCAGGGCATGTTGAGATCAAGTGACAATAAATAATAGCACACTCTTGACCAACCAGTCGATGCTGTTTATGGAAACAATCGCTGTTTATCGTACAAATCACACAGAATACATAAAACACTGTGCGGGCAAAAGGAATGCAGAACTTACCGTGTTAATCACATGATGCATGTCACGACATCATGTTCATAACAAGAAGTTATAGGAAGAACTGCCTAGTTTCTTTGATACGACATGGACCACACAGAAAACGAGCCCAACAATTCTTCTGTTCTTGCGTTCCCTTCTGCGGAAGGGTGTTTATAGAGACGTTGCCTAGCAACGATAGGGGGATACACAGACAATTAGGTGATCTCATTAGTCTATTTTTTTAAATGGAGAAATTAGGCTAAAAAGAGAACATATAGCACTGATGCCAATTAAAACGAAACTGACTCAAGCAACGTTAACTGCAGATATCCGATGTAAAATGCAAACGATGACAATTTGAAGTTCTTCCGTCATGCGCCCTGCAAGACACTTACCTTCAACGGTGAGTTTGCTGCCGGCGCACACGATCTTCAGCTCAATGCGGCCTCTCCGTTCGGTATGGTCGCAGCCACACAGGTTGGGCACCGTCTCGACACATCTCTTGTGAACGTTCATGTCACATGCTGCAACACAGCAAACATAACCTCACAACTGAACGAACTTAATTCTTACGTCAACTAGGTTGAACCCGCTCACACCGCCTCACCCAAAGTCATAAACTCACCCCCCCCCACCCATCGTCATGACCTCTGTCAAGGGAAACCCCAACATGTCGCGAAATTCTACAGCGAGTTAAGACGCCTCTCTGTAAGTGACATCACCGTGACAGTAAGTCCTTGAGCATGGCATTTACGGTTAGTGCCAGTTGGGAATTCTTCGTTTGTACAGAAACTTTGGGGTCTTTATAGCCTACACATCCTCACCTCGCCCGTTCCCATTCCTTTGCGCAAAAGCAATCCATGCGACTGTTGCTTATAACGTTCCTTTACAGGAGAACAACGTAACATCGGCTGTGTCACGCAGTGTTCGAGGTTTCCGGGCCCTCTTCCAGCGCAAGGAGCCCCCCCCCCCCCAGATCTGTATGTTCAACTGTGCATTTAATTTCACACAGACGGACGCACTTCAGGGATCCTGGAGAATTTATGTACAACGATTTGCATATATGCCGTACTAAGTCGTCTTGAGATGATTACAGTCGCTCAGCTGGTCAAGAACTCCCTTGCTTTTATAAAACCCGAAATTTCCGTGTTCAGGAGACCTCACGTACCATTTAATTAACATCAACTTTAATATTATCCTTCTTCCTGCGGTCAGGTCTAGTAACCGTCTATTGCAGAGCCGCGCCATAGCTCAAGCGGTTAGTCGTTGGCTTCTCACCGCGGCGGCCTGGGTTCGATCCCGGGTCTGGTCAAGTAGGATTTCTGGTGGACAAAGTGGCGCTGGAGCAGGTTTCCTCCGAGTACTTTGATTTCCCTTGCCAATCTTCATTTCACCAATTGCTCCAATATCACCCTCACCTATCATCTGGGGCTGGTACAATAGGCCAGAAGTGGCCGCAGTACAAGGGACTTAGTGTCACCCCACAAGCAATAAAAAAAGTCTACTGCGGTTGATATGTTCGATGCATTCGAAATAATTCTGTTGCGTGTTACATGTCTCGCCCATCTCACCATCCTTGATTTGACAGCCCAAATGAAATTTAGAGAGGAGTACATTTTATGAAGCTCCTCGCCGTGTAATGTTCCACCCCTTTCTCTTACTTCCTCCGTTCTGGCAGCGCCCTGCCGCCTCTACACATGCGCACTGACAGCCAGAAGACCATTATAATTCGATAACTTAACACCACAAGGAGGTATCATCAGGATTGTTTCGGCACTTCCAGCGCCATCTTCATGGATGTACAACAGTAATGATGTCTATTATTATACCCTCAATACATTCTGATATATCGAGAATTTCATCTGTAAACTTCCAAGCGCTTTCGGCTGTCCGTGTGTTCACATCTCGTATGCGTGTTTCAGCTCAAAGCTGTTCAATTCCCCAATTTGGATAATAAATTTTGAAGCTCATAAAAACAGTGGGGCGGGTTCGAATGTCGGGCAGGACACCAGTATGCTGAGAAGGGCTGTTATCAGGCAAACAGGGAAATTGTAAATGGTGGTTAGAAATGGCGTGTAAGGAGCAGATCGTGACCTGTTTGGAGAAATAGCCTGGCCTGGGCACTGAGAAGACATAAAACGTAGTGAAGATAGTCGGTGCGCGAGAGACCGAGATTCGAAACGGCGACTCCTCCACCAGAGCTTCTCAGCACCGCTTCAAAGCGAGAAAATGGAAGAAAGAAGCCATGAGCAACTGGATTCGAAGAGAACAAATAGTCTTTCTACTCTGTTCTTGTCCTAAATACTACTAATTCAACTAACTAAATAGAGCTGAGCCTTTCTTGAGGAGCCACCAATTGTGGAGAAACTACAGGGAACCCGCGTTCACAAGAGCCCTGAACCGGTCCCTATTCACAGACACATCACTCCAGTCCACACCACCCTCATCCTACGTGTCTAAGATCCACTTTAATACTAACCACACACCTACGTCTTGGTCTTCTTACTGGTCTCTTTCCTTCTCTTTCCCGGCAAAATCCTATGTGCATTCATCTTATCCCCATTTGTGCTACATGCCTTGCCCATCTCATCTTCCTTGACGTGATCATCCTAATTATATTTGGAGAAGAGTATAAGTTATGATGCTCCTCATTATGCAGTTTTCTCCAACCTCCTGTCATTTCATTTCTCTTCGGTTCAAACATTCCCTTCAGCACCCTATTCTCAAACACCTCCAGTCTATGTTCATCTCCTAATGTCAGAGACCTAGTTTCACACCCATACAGAACCACACGCAAAATTATAGTTCTGTACATTCTAATGTTTACATTTTTAGATAGCAGATTCTCAAGGTTCTGCACCGAATGTTAGCAAGCATTACTGGAATTCAATTTCCTCCTGAATCAAATTCTGATTTGTCACTGTCGTTCTAAAATATTTGAACTTTTCCACATTTTCAAAGGATCTCCTAGGTGTCTTAATACCATGATTCTGCCCTGCATCTTGGTGACAAGAAAACAACATATACTTAATTTTCTCCGTGTTTAATTCTAGACCAACCTTCTTACTAGTGTCGGTTGAAGTTTCTGTATTTTTTTCTTTACAATATCTATGTTATCTCCCGGTATATTCACATCATCGGCATAGTCCAACAGCTGATGTGTCCCGTTTAATTTCAGTCCCACCTGGTTTTCCTGGATCTTCCTAATGACATATTATAAAGGAAAGTTGAAAAACGTGGCGCTAAAGCATCTCCTTGTTTCATAATATTTTGGATAGGAAAATTATCCGACAAATGTTTACCTACACGAACTTTATATTCGTTACATTTAAACACATTTTAATCAGCCTAACTAGTTTCATGGGTACCCCAAACTATACGAGAATACTGTACAAAAATTCCCTCCTAACTGAATCACACGCTTTCTTGAAGTCTATGAATAGCTGATGTACTCCAATGTTTTCTCAAGTATCTGACAAATGCAAACAATCTTACTGATAGTTGGTCTATTACGTCGAAATCCACACTGATGATCCCCAACAATTTTGTCTATGTATGGACTTCACATTGAGAGAGAGAGAAACACATTGGATAAAATTTAGTATGAAGTACATAACAGTAATATCCCTCCCTAATTAGGTTGATTAAATTAAGAACGAGTTGGGCTGGGCATGAAGCACATACGGAGATAATAAGAAATACGTGCAAAATGGATATAAGTAAGAGTAATGTGTGGGCGGGGTTTGGACTGGAAAGACTCAGGACAGGAGCCAATTGCGGCAGGCGTTTGTGAAGACGATAATGACTGGAATTCTGTGGAACGTGACAGTTACAGGTAGAAGGGATCGGCTTTCCTACTGAGATATTTTTCACTAAGAAAATTTTCCGGGTTGCACCACGCAACATTCCAGTAATAACTCAGGTGGGTCCAGGGAACTTGTCCATCAGTTGTATAATTATCATCTTTTATAAGGATCATGTATCATGAGGCTAGTTCGCTATTTAAGCTACTGGGTCCACTAGACCCAGTGGGTACGTGCACTGCGGAGAGTGGCTGCAGTTTGGTGCAGAAGGCTAATGCTATGTTAAGGTAACCCTAACGCTTTGAAGCACAGTGCTAAAGTACTCAGCATTTAGGCCACTCATGTGCTTCGTGCGGCTCTCGCAACAAACAGCGATAATTCGCCTGAACATCAACTGGCCGCCGCACTGTGTTCTGTGACGTAGGGCCACGATGTTCTAAATGTCATTATTTAGCGGGCTTCAAAGGAGCAAACGTCACGCAGAAATGGCACATCGGTGCTAATTATAAATGGCGTCCTCTAATCTGATTACTGAATTAGTGACCAGCAACCGCGCATGTTCGCGAGGGCACGCGGTAGCACGTAGTTCGTTGAGGCACTATGCTACAAGCCGGATGATCGTAGGCTCGATTCCCGATGAGGTCACTGGAATTTTCAGATGACTGAATCCTTCCAGCCGCACTATGGCCCTAGGGTAGACTCAGCCTCTAACAGAGATGAGTACCAAGAATCTTCCTGGGTGTAAAGGGAAACCGACGCGTAAGGCTGACAACCTCACTGCCATCTGTGAGCCAATTGTCTAGAAAATATGGGAACCTCAACATATCACAACCCTATGGGCATCCACGGCCTGTTACAGGGATAGCTTTACCTTTATATCACGCATATTCTGATGCCTAGTGCAGGCTGGAACGGTCTATGGAATTCATATCTATCACTGCGCGTCGAAAACTATGCGACTTTCTGAGCGGAGAGGGGTCTCCCAGCCTGACCTCCCTTCCCAGTCAAAATGATTTTGCTTTTTCTGAAGTGAAATCCAGATTAACAAACGCAGTACATGTGGACACCGCTAGCATTCAAGTTCCTGCTTGATCAAGGCCGTCGTCAAGCCAGACTCGGTCGCTTTCCTGCCTTATGTCGGTTCGATATACAACCGCAGTAGCAGGGTCCTGTTCCGGCAGAACACTAAGACGGTTGGCCTCCCTCCAGGAGGAATCTCTAGTTTCCTTCGGTCGGTCAAGAACGACCTAGTGCCAAAGGAACCCGGAGCATGCTGCATTTCCTGTGGATAGGTCAGGTTTACCTTGGACAGGCGAGCCGTTCGATCGACACCGGGTGGAAGAAGCACCACCGATATATCCGCGTGGAGCATCAGGACATGTGAGCCGTGGCGGAGCACAGTATTAACATCCCGCTACACAACGCTACCGTCCTCCACATCAAACCGAGAAACATGGATTTCTTCATCAGGAAGGCGATAGACACTGAGTTCCATCCTAATGATGCGAACAGGTAGAAAGGCGTCTGTCCAAGTAAGTCATGGAAACCTCTTATCTCCTCGCTGAATGGTCGTAGAAAGCCTCACTCTCGGGACTGTATAACTGTGTTCTCCGCGGCGCCACGTAGGTCCGTGCATATTGCCCATATCAGGGCATCAACTCTTCCCTCTGCGGTCACTCATCAGCCCTAAGGCTCCAACCGACTTTCCTGCCCACCATACC